ATCCGGATGAAGCAGCCCATTTCCCAACAGTTTTTGCAGCCATCGTGATCAGCTCAGTCGTAATACATGGTGCCGCAAGCCCCCCTGCGCGATCGGTAGTTCTGTTTGTTCAGCAGGGACCCATGGTCTGTTCCTTTTTCCGTCTCGGGTGCCCCAGATAAAATCTTTAATTAGCTTGCTTAGTCGGAAAATAATAGCCTTCGACGGCCAGCAGTGCCGAGCAACGTACAGGAATTTGGGTACAGCAATGGCTCGAACCAGGTGGGAACGCTGTTCGACCGAATGCGTCTTTTGACGGGCCAAAGCTAAACGTGCCCATACTGCTTGGATACAGATGTCCCAGTTGATAGTAGAAAAATCGCCATGCCCAACTTGAACACCAAGATATCGGCAGTGGTTAGCTGTGTTCAGTAACGTTAGACCGAGTGTGTGATCCGGTGACAGTGTCGTTTGACTCCCTAGCTGAACGACGATCGACTTGTTCTTGTTTATAGCCAACCCCGACACATTTTGAAAAGCTCCAAATATTTCAAGCACCTTAGGAATCTCCCGATAGTGGGCGAGATAAACGGCCGTGTCATCTGCATAACCAGATATAACAATAGTTTCTTCCCTTCCAGGTGAAGCGATTCGTACTCCATGAATATCTGAACGTATTCGAAAAACCTTGTACGCGCTGTCCAGTGCGAGAATGAAAAGCAAAGGAGCCATTGGGCAACCCTGTCGGATGCCGCAGTTCATCTTGACCTTTCGCGACAGAAATCCATTGACCAAGAACTTGCATGTAGTGTTCGCGTGGAGCGCGGATACGATGGCGACAAATTTCTGCGAAAACCCCAACCATTTGAGAACCGCTAGTAAATAGGGTCGCTGCAAGGTGTCGTACGCTTTAGCAAAGTCCAAAAGGAGGACAATTGCATCTTTTGTGGCTTCTTCAGTCGTTGCCGCGATCTTCGTCGCTCTCGCTGCAAATATATCGAGTGCAGTCGCGATATTGCGACCTGGTACAAATCCAACTTGTGCAGTGTCGACCACGAATGGCAGCATCGCTCGTAGCCTGGTAGCTAATATTTTAGTAAAAATCTTGTAATCGCTGTTGAGTAAAGCGATTGGCCGATGGTCTAGCGGTCGAGAAGACGTTGATGATTTCTTGAGACAGTGAATGTTGACCTCGCCAAATGAGCAAGGCGTCACTCCACACTCAAGCCATCTGGTGTATAATTCCGACAGGATGGGTGCAAGTTCTTCAGAGAAATCCTTGTAAAAACTATTGCCAATTTCATCTGGTCCGGATGCTTTTCCATGTTTGCACTTCTTAATAGCGGCTAGGACATCGGCAGAGTCAATTGCAGATACCACTTGTTCGTCATTTAACGACGGGGGCGTAGGAGCTCTTGCAAGAAAACGCTCGGTACACTCCTGATCATCGAGATGTCGATGTAACAAATCCGCCCACCCATCAGCCATGTCATTAGCCAGATCTCGCGACCGATTGGGTCCGTATGGGGCGGGTCCGCCGAGTGAGGTAATAGTGTTGTCTCTAAACTTTAAGGACACTCGTGCAAAAACCCGGCGGGTAGTTGCTCCAGGTCTGTATGTGTGTTGTCGAAGTAGTTGTTCCCTCTTCCGCCGTTGCCAATTTCTACGACATTCGGCCACCTTTTGGCGTAAAATAGTAACAGTTTCGTCGGTGTTACGGTTAGAGACCTTGGCCGCGTGAAGATTTACTTGGAGTCGTCGCAATCGATGACGATAACTATTAGTCATCTTCTGACGTATCGTGCGTGAGTCGTTCAGTAATGCCCTGCGGAGACCCACTTTCCACACGTCCCACCACCGCGCTAGATTGATCGCCGTTGAGACATCAGTCAGAGGTAAATGTCGGACTGACTCAAGAATCAACGAAGCTGAGGTTAGGGCTTGCGTAATAGTGTTCTTAGCTGTGGAGTGCACCACAGCAGCGACAGGGTAAACTCGGCGTGGTTTTCGCTGTTTAACAACTGTTTTCGGAGCTGCGAGACGAACGGTTACTCCATTGTGATCCGAATTTGGCCCAGGAACTGACATGCTGGTGTCTCGGATCCAATCGGACACCCTGGCGCTAACATACCAGCGGTCCAACCGAGAGCTAGCCCGCACTCCTCCTTGCAATGTATAGTTGTATGTGTGCGTTTGTGAATGAAACACGGAGTGGCCTCGCTCTGCTAGCGCAATCTCTATGTCATCCTCAAGCACATCCACAATCTCCCTGGAATCCAGTAGACGCCGTAACTCAGGTGAATAATGATGGGTTCCGTTGGTAGTAACATGTGACCGGTCCAGACTAGGAAACAGAGTACAATTTCAATCACCCCCTAGTATTACCGGTCCCGCAAAGCTCTGAAGCGCTGTCGTGAGCAATTTGAACAAACTTTCTCGATCATTCCGAGCGTTTGGCGCGTAAACATTCAGTATCAAAAACTCTTCATTGTGTATTGTGACAGTCGAGCCCATCCAATGCGGTGTCCATGCCTCCTCCATCCAGGGCGTAATCGCCTGAATTGTCGAGTACGGATTGAGTAGTATTGCAACACCACCCCCACGCTTGGAAGACTCCGACCATAGCGTCATACCCCGTTTCTCATCTGAATTAAATCCCCAAGTAGCACAATAGAGTGTATCAAGTCCATGTGCCTCACCGACCAGCACGTGCGTCTCCTGAAGCAGCACAACATCGAGGGGTCCCCGCTCGTCGTGCTGACGGAAGTTGGAGAACCATTGTGCACAAAGCACTGGGTCTTTAGGATAGCCTTGGACGTTCTGGGAGTGTAGTCCAATTGAGTTTTCTAGCGGGCGTCTTGCCCGATCAACCGGTAGGGCGCATTTAGGTGGAGGGGACGACATAGTCCGGTCGGCAATTTCACGCCACGTAGACTGGTTACGCATTCTCGCTTGTATATGTGCCGACTGCACCACGGACGCAGTAGTTGATACCTCAGCGATGCCCTTAAGAGCGGAGGGGAACCACCCGATTCTCATCAGCGATAAGACTAATAGCCGTACTCCAGTCTGCCTGTTTGGATACAATACTGGAGACGGCTGTGCGTATAGAGACAGAAGAGTGGTAAATGGACGCTTTTGTCTGAGGCCATACGACCGCGAACGCATTGTCCGCTGGTGCCAGGGTAGGCAGCATCAAGCAGAGAACATTTAACACGCCCCAGTCATCGGTAGCGATAGGGTCCACGACAGTCGCGCATAGCAACTCTGGGTGCAATTTACGAACTTTCCTCCAGCGTTGTATGGAGTTCGTAGTTTTCCACCTGATAACGCCTAGCTGTTGCGACGCCACCGCATCCCATGAGCTGCAAAACCGATTAAGTTCCAAATCGGCATGGGTAGCATACCGGCGAATGACCGCAAGCTGGGTCTCGCTATTGATGGCATGCCCAAAAGTTTTTTTAGAGTCGTGGGCGTCATGCATTTAAGATACTGGATTGGAAAAGGTAGCGCCATCACGAGTCCTACAAGCTCCGCAGTACAGTGCCGGATCCATTCATTTTCACCAGAAGCTGTAGTAGGCAATACGTGAGGAATACTAACCACACATGAGCGGTTCTCAACCCACTTCTTGATCACCAGTAAATTGGCTGCTGCGCAACGAGAACCCTCGGTCAGGGCAGCCGCAGCTATCATTGGCGACGCATTCAAGGGGGAATTGCGGACTCTGGACGCCGTGAGGGTTCGTGCGTGCTTGTCAGATGCGCGCGCGGCAAGTTGATGGCCGTGAAAAATCGTTAGCTCAAATGAAGGCGAATTCTCGACGGGATCCACCGCAGGAGCACTCAGCGGAGGAATAGGTGGGTCGTCTGATTCAAAAGTCGCTGCGAGCGCCGCAGGAATCGGGACCTTGTCCTCCAAAAACGCAGGGTCTCGTGTGTCCGAACTCAATCCAGCGTTATTGGATTCGGTATCGCCGAGCTCGTCTAGCCGCATCGTGTTCTGGGGCATGTATACCGACTCCATATCAATATCCACAACGGCCGCGGGGTCGCCTAACGAGGTGTTTGCATAATGATCTGCGCCATCTACAGAAGTGCGATCAAAAGTGTTGGGGGCCTCGGCAGTGGTGCCTGCTCGTGCGCTGGCGTGGTCCATAGATTCCGAGTCATAAGCCTCCTCTGACGATCCCGAAGTGGCAGGGTCTCCATTCTGACGGCGTTTACGCATAAACGTAAGGACGAATCCGAGAATAGCTTCTCTGCTATGCTGGCGTAATCGATCAGCTATCGCGTCAGGTGTATCACTGATAGTCGGTAGAGTTTCAACCGCGCAAGGAAGAGGTTCCATGACCGGCAATTCGGACGGAGGCAAACGGACAAGTTTCTTCACCAGGCCACTGTGTACAGCTTCTGCTCGCGTGACGGCCTCGGTTGCTGCGGTCATCTTCAGAGACTGCGACGCGGAATCTATGTTCAAGGTCCAAAAGAGTTGATTCCTCAGCCCGATGCAGACCCGACGAAGCACTCGCGTCCGGGTCCGAGAGAAAGGCCTTTTCGATCAACACAGAGTTTGTGTCATGATAGGCAGCCTTCGCCAGGCTTGTATGGTCCCGTGCTGTGGCAGCAACGGACCGCAAGCCCACGAGAGTAGCGGTAATTGCATCCGTTTGAGTGGACAAGTATGCACGCTTGACAGAGAGTTTTGTAACGTCCTCACTACCCAAAATGGGGTCATTAATGGGTGCAATAGATTTCACACTTGTACCAGTGCGTATGTTGTTGAGCACCGCTAGGGCAGCTGTAAATTGTTTCGTCTTCCCAACTTTCAGCCGAGCCGCAGTGTTTGTCGAAGATGATTTCACTGGTCGCGGTGGCAAGTTAGTTGGTGTAGACTTTGTAGGCCCCATGTTTGTATGGCTTGCAGGAAGCGTTACCTGGGGTTGAGGTAGAGTTGTTCGGTCGGCGGCCTTGTGTTTCGGTCCAGGTTTTGCAGGAATGGTAGCACGTGTCACTTCCTTGCGATCGGGCTCCTTGGGAGTCGCAGCAGGGGGAGCGTGCTTGCCTGATCGGTGTATGTCACTTTTCGTCGCTGTTTTGCGCTTTCTTCCGTCCCCAGGGTCAAACCAGCCGTCGGTAGGGCGAGGAGCCATTCCTGAATCGGTTGCATCCTGTGGGTAAGGGTGAGACCGTGCTGATGAAACTGGGGAAGGAGGTTGACGTTCCGGGCGCATCGAGTCATCCCGTGCGTGGTCAGGCGGTACAGACATACGCACCAGGAGTGGCGTCGTGCGAGCCTCCTCGTGTAACTTTTCCTTCGTAGTGTTTAGAGAACTGGATAGACTTTGAATGTGAGCAAAACGTCCCTCTACATCCAGGTGGGTAAGCGTTAATTCAGGTACCAACGATAGCGAGTGAGATGGCTTCGAAAAATTGCGGTGGTGTACACTCTGGACGGTAATGTCTTGGCCGGTGCATCTCGAGATTGTGTGGAATGGCGAGTAGCATCCAAAACACGGGACCCTCTGGTATTGACGGAAATGGTGCAAGAACAGAGAAAGTCCCGGCGCCGAGATATGCGTGACTTGCCGAAGCTGTTGTGGGCATTCTGGTGTATCGAAAGTCACCAAGAAAAAATTCGAGTCGTAAAGTTCCGCCGACGCCAAAGGCGCCCGAGAGACCGAAACAATGGAACAGTCGACACTCGCAGACAGGAGCGCTTCTATGGCGCCAGCAGATACTCCAGTGGCAAGCACTCGAACCTGGTATCGGAGCGGATCGCCACCAAAAGCGTAGTTGTCAGACACATGAAGCGGTGAGTCCTCTCGCTCAAGTATTGTAGGGCATTGGAGGCGCAGGCGGCTTCCTCTGTACTCGATATCCTTGGAGTGCCATCCAAATGCAGCCGCTCGATCAGCAAGGGTAAAGGTGATTCGACGCGTTACACTATCGTAGTGTGTGCGTTTCGCCGCGTGAACCAGCGTGCGAGTTAAGATCGCCTCCGGCGTTTGGTCTTGCTTGTCCTCTAATAGCTGGAGAAGTAAAGTCTTCTCGGCGATGAAGCGAGGCATACGAATCTTGGGAGGAATAATCGCAACAACACTTCCTTCGAGGTAAGCCTCAAAAAAATCAAGCATAGCCACTCGCATAACACAAGTGTGTGTACACGATAGAAACCCTGGAGGGCTAGGAAGCACGATGCTTCCCATGATCCATGCGGCTAGAGCTTCTTCTTCCACTGCAAGCATCGGACGTAGATCCGAGTCTGACTTGGCCTTCCACGGCCGCGTTGCTACTTTTATCCAGAGTTTCTGTTGAACATCCATGCTCCCACTGGCTTCGCTCTGCCCGACCGCGTCCTTATAGCTACAAGATTGGCGTTCAGGGGTGGTTGGGAAATCAGTACCGGGTAAGCTAGAGTCATCAGGAACCCCCATGGAAACTTTCGAGGATTTAAAGGCGCACGAGTGCGCATTCTTGCCCATCGAGCCCTCGTCGGGAGCTGGCGGAGGTGGGATAGAGTCGTGGGGGGAAGCACCTGCGTCGGCAGCAGTACCGCTGCTCATGTCAAAAGGGGGAGGCACACTTCCACGTGCCGCGTTGTGATTGGTTACGTGCACTATACGGTGCAAATTTGGAAGTGACGTTCTTGGACGTGCTCAATATAGACATCCGCAATTCGAGAACGCAGATGTTATTGCTGCCGGACAAACGGTTAATTGCCATCGACTCTCCACGGGTCACACGACCGGTACGTGAATCGATTGCTTCATTTGATATCTGATCGTTTGTTCTGGCTGCATAGGTTGCCATCCCCATTGATGATGTCCAGCAATTGTTACGCGCGGTCTAGTTCATTGCTCTGCGTTTCACTCCTTCTGTCGGGTTTTCACAGCTCAAAACAATTTAAGTTGACTCGAGCGGCACTCTGCTGCTTCGCTGACTCGACACATGACAGCCAAACTTGCACTTTCATCGCAGAGGAAGTACATTGCTACGAAGTTGGATACGACAAGTTCAAGTAGAAAAAAAGACGTGCATGTCGACGAAACGGTACTATGTAGCAGTGGGCCAAATTTCTATCGTAAGATGGATAGTGAGCAAAGAAGACTCACGTCATCTCCGCCCCCACGTATCGGTCTGCCGTTTATATGCTACCCACTTTCTCCTTCTCCACTAAACTGTTTACCAGAATTGGAGAGCTGCCTATTACTGCACCACGCAGACAGCTATTCTAACACGCCTCTCTGTCCTCTTTTCGCTCATCCACCCCTCCTGGAGGCTTGATGACGTCTTTCGATTACGGTGGGTGCTACCATCGACTCACCCCCCCATTTCAGTGAGAACAGGTGACAGCAAACTTGTTATTGTTCTGTCTGTTCGACGCAGTACGTCTGAGCATCGAGAAAGCGCGAGACTGCCTTGCGTGGGTAGCTCGCCTCCATGGAACTACCTCTCTCACATGCACACAACTAATACGCTGTCACCAAACTTACTTATGCTCGTCAACGGCATTTACGAAGAAGGGCGTAGCTTGTCCAGGAGGGTCAAACAGACGAGATGATGCCAACTGTAACGGGGTAGCCCGTTACATGAGATTGACATTTAAAACAATCTGACAAAAAAGAATATTACGTCGAATATTCGTTTAACAATATCACAAGGCATGGTGATATTGTTGGGATGACTGAAGGGTCTACTAATTGGTTGATATCGTGATGATATCAACCCACCAATCGCTGCTAGACGCGCGCAATGGGTGGTGAGTAGACGTCATCATACATATAGTTATATTAGTATAATTAAGTCAGGACACAGAGATTCAAGGAGTTATAGGACTTAATTATATTAATACAGTTTTACTTTTACCAAGAGACTAGTCTGACTACTTAGTCTCCTTTCCTTCCTCTGTGTTTTCCCTAAAACACCTAGCAGGGCACTGTCGACCACTGTCGTCAGTGGAAGTATACTCCGTACTGGTCAACCAGTACGTAGTCAACAGTGCCCCGTTACACCAACTGCGTGACTGGAGACGCAACTAAATAATTGATAGCGACAAAGAGAATCAGGACAGGATGAAGTCGCAGCTTGACGAGACGATATGAAAGATTGGATACCTGAGAACAAAAGTGAGTGAGCTGGCACAAGCTGCACGTGACTTACTTGACGTCATCTGCTTCTAATTACGGGTTGTGAGGGCACGCGGGCCATGCGCTCCAGCAAGCAACCTTGTCGCTGAAGGCACTTAGAGAGGTGCCCGCTTGCCCGACAGTTTATACACGGACCCTGACGTTCGAGGCGAACGATGCAATATAGACGTCCCGACAAGGCAGACATGGGCGCGGTCCAGCTGCTTGTAGAAAGAGGACTGCATTTGCTGCTTCAGGAATTTGCGCGATAGCAAACATGAGGCGGAGATTCCGGTCTTGGCAGCTCGGAACAATGAATCAATACTTCTTCAGCTTGAGTATGATCCGTCGCAGCTTACTGTCCACTATTATTGCTAGTCCGATGGTTGCCTTCTTTCTAAGAAGCACATGCAAAAGTCTAGAGATGAAGTCGACGTGGACGGCTTCGAGAGCGAAAGCGATAAAATATAGAGAACTCGAATCATGATCCGAATGGCCGTGTTCGAAGACTGCGAGTTCGTTAGTGACAGCATCGACGACAAAGGCGATGAGCAAGATGCCACCCTTAATCGGCCCGCTGAAGGCCATGAACGTGCTGTAACGGGGTGATCCCGTTACATAAAAATTGACAGAAAGTATAAATTTTGAGTATTATCTATTTTGATAATATTCAATCAACATCACTCGAGAAGAGGTGATCTTGTCGGAATATTACCCCCAAGGGTAATATCCGTGGTTGCTCCACTTCTTGGTTGATGTAACATCTACATCATCCAAATTAACCACCAATCGCTGCTAGACGCGCGCAATGGGTGGTGAGTAGACGTCATCATACATATAGTTACATTAGTATAATTAAGTCAGGACACAGAGATTCAAGGAGTTATAGGACTTAATTATATTAATACAGTTTTACTTTTACCAAGAGACTAGTCTGACTACTTAGTCTCCTTTCCTTCCTCTGTGTTTTCCCTAAAACACCTAGCAGGGCACTGTCGACCACTGTCGTCAGTGGAAGTATACTCCGTACTGGTCAACCAGTACGTAGTCAACAGTGCCCCGTTACACCAACTGCGTGACTGGAGACGCAACTAAATAATTGATAGCGACAAAGAGAATCAGGACAGGATGAAGTCGCAGCTTGACGAGACGATATGAAAGATTGGATACCTGAGAACAAAAGTGAGTGAGCTGGCACAAGCTGCACGTGACTTACTTGACGTCATCTGCTTCTAATTACGGGTTGTGAGGGCACGCGGGCCATGCGCTCCAGCAAGCAACCTTGTCGCTGAAGGCACTTAGAGAGGTGCCCGCTTGC